TCATCATGGCCCACTTGGATTAAGAAAATAAGGTTTTTTACAAATTGGCGTTTCGACTTGGTTTTTCTCTGAAATTTTCTTATGGAATGTGTGGTTTTCTTTGTATCAATGGAAAATTTGTAGTTTTGGCTACCAAGAGGTATAATTTGTTTAAGGGGGTGGCATTTGAAATTTTTAAAAAGTATGACGTTTGGCGAAAGTCAATCAAAAATTTAATTTTTGTGATAATGTACCTACAAAAAATTATGTGACAGTGCCTCAATTCAAAAATTAACCGCCTGCGCGATTTAGTTTCTCTAAAAAAAATTCCGAAAAACTATCAAGTTTTGACGAAAAAAGGTCGTTGAAGTTAGGGGTATAACACGTTACATAAAAAATAATTTTTCTTAAAAATCGAATTATCTTTAAAACTACTAGCTTTTCGGATATTAACCATATAATAAAAAAGACGTACTATTACACGTATAATTCAAACATGCATTCAAATACAGGGGGTTCTATTTAAAAAAAATGTACCATTTTGGTGCACCCTGCATAATTCCAAATATTTTAAAATGTGGAGAATATTCAACCATATCATAATACAAAAGCACTCTATCAAAAAATCTTATCTTCAAGGCATTAAGTTAATCCGCGCAAACGTCCACTCACCCTGTACACGTTAAATATATGTACTTTTAAGAGGCACACTCTGTGTACTTTAAATATTTGAAAGTATTGTGAGTGTAGGTACTTAAATTTGATTTCTCGTTCTTTGCATAATCACACTGTGCACATTTTAAATCGTGTTTTTTTTAAATATTTCAATAGTTATTCCGTTATTCTACTGTTGGGGTCGGAGACGAATCCAACAAATCAAAAATCATGGAAATCAGTCTAGCCGTTCTTGAGTTCTAAGTGGTAAACATGATACATAAAAATTTTAAAATTGACCGGGGGGGGGGGTAAATGTGAACCCCTCAACTGTATCCCTATGTGATTGCGACAAAGCAAAGTTTAGAAAGAAAAACTACCTTCGAAATCCACTACAAAAAGGAAAACGCTCTCGATGTACAGTGTACAGACAGACGGACAGATTGACAGGCCAAAGACAGTTGATGTTACCACGTTACATGTAAATTATATTACATGGTTTTGTTTATTACAACTAATTAATTAAAAATTTGTAACAGTCTTAAAGTAGATTAATTTATAACAGTAATTATTCCTTATCACTTACAATTTATGTAAACTCAAACGCATCGAAGTGGGAACTGAACTGAATAATAATACGATTTGCTTATATAGCAAAACCCCCTCTTTCTCGATAGTTATCGAACGCTTCCGGACACTTCCGAGCTCATCATTTATAATCGGTCTCTACTAACATCTACACACATAAGAATAAGTATAGTAAGTTTAAAGTTAGCAGCAGAATAGAAATCAATATAGGTATGGTATTGGAAGTCAATGGTAAAAACGCCAAAAGCTATTAAACCCTAAGCGCGAAATATTAAACAATGAAACAAAATTTAAATCTCTTCCACACATTTGTTTTTCAAGGTTATAGAAGTAGGTACACATAGCCCTAGACACACACCGGGAATTTTCTCGCTGAAAATAACGTATATGTGTAATCTTAGTGTACAAATGATTAATATCATAGTGGCACACTTTAAATCCAGAGAGCGTCGGACAAAACCCTGGTAGAATCCAAAACAATTCGTGCTTTTTCGATCAGACTTCTCAATCAAAAGTTATAGACTAGAAACCAATTTCGAAAGAAAATTCAAAGGGCCGTAACTTTTGAACTAGTAGCCCAATCTTGGAACTGTTTGAAATTATGGATTCTACAGGCCACATTCTATAAGAAAATTTTTTTCCGGGTCGATCTGAGATAATTTTTTTTCGTGCCAAAAAAAAGGCATAGTATAACCTTCCTTTTTTACCAAAAATCGACTACACTTTCTATTACAAAAGTATCGGTCAGTCGAATTTCGAACACTTGTCACACCAGTAGTCGTGGCACGATTACTTTCAAAAAGAGCTCTTTTTGACAATTGCAAGATATTGTGTAATTACCAGCACTTTTGCAACCATTTTAATGAAACAAACAAAAAATTGATCCTTCGAGCCGGATTTGAACCAGCGACCTATGGATTACCATCAGAAATTGCATCTACCTACAGTCCACCGCTCTACCAACTGAGCTATCGAAGGTGATAATGACAACGTCAATCAGTGATAATCACAACAGTGAAATGAACAAAGATAAGGAAATGTAAAAAAATACTCCTTCGAGCCGGATTTGAACCAGCGACCTATGGATTACCGTCTGAAATTGCATCTACAGTCCACCGCTCTACCAACTGAGCTATCGAAGGTGATAATGACAACGTCAATCAGTGATAATCACAACAGTGAAATGAACAAAGATAAGGAAATGTAAAAAAATACTCCTTCGAGCCGGATTTGAACCAGCGACCTATGGATTACCGTCTGAAATTGCATCTACAGTCCACCGCTCTACCAACTGAGCTATCGAAGGTGATAATGACAACGTCAATCAGTGATAATCACAACAGTGAAATGAACAAAGATAAGGAAATGTAAAAAAATACTCCTTCGAGCCGGATTTGAACCAGCGACCTATGGATTACCGTCTGAAATTGCATCTACAGTCCACCGCTCTACCAACTGAGCTATCGAAGGT